GGACTAGAAGAAGAGAGTGGAGGAGAAGCATTATTTCTCCTGGCTGTGGGTCCCATGATCTTGTTATTTAAGCCTTTCAGTGATGCCAACACCCAAGCAAGAGTCCAGGATCACAGTGGAGAAGGGAGCCTGCCTTCTGCTCCTTGAAGGAGAGATCAAGGGAGATAGAGAGATCAGTTAAGAGGGAGAAGTGTCTGTGTGGTGACTGACAGACTCCTCCTGGAAGTTCTCAAGAGGGAGCAGAGTCTTCTTCACACAGCAGTGGGCACAGCGACCTGAAGAGGCAGGTAGATAGGACAAGAGACCTCAGTTGCAACATTAGTGAAAACAATACTATGTTTTCCTCCCTGGATTTTAGTGGAAAGCTTTTAAACTAGGGAGTATGTGAAAAAAGCACTTCAGAGCTCTCGAACTGAAAAAAAAAAAAAAACCAAAACAAAACAATGATGCATTCACCGATGTTATTTATAGGGAGTCAGGCTAGGCCAGAGTTTGTTTGCAGTGGACATCTGCTACCTTTGGCTCTCAGCTAAGCCAGTCAGTATTTTACAAATCCTGCCCAATTGCTTCAGTAGCAGACTCAAAGTCTTGGGGGTAAAAACCCTGGCTCTTCAGCTGTTGGAAAGTGGTTTGTTTTCTGAGTAGGTGTTCTTGTGAAGACAGCGAGTGGAATCAACAGAGCTATCTAAAAGAGACTCGAGCAAAAGTCAAGTCCTGGTGTTGGGATTTTGGAGTCTTGACTCAAGCTGTAGCTAATCCAGTCGTCTCTCTGGGCTTTTGGGTTACTTGAGCTAATATATCCTCTTTCTGTTTAAGTCTGTTGCTATTGGACTGTCGGTTGAATCCAAAAGAGTCCAAAGTTATGTACCATTCAATTGATGGACTATTGCACTTGAGTGTGAGTGAATAACTCAAGCATCCGAACCTATTACAGAGGATCTTTTAATATACATTATGTCCTTGATTACAGTGTATTTACCAATGCTCTCCCTTTATACAGAATTACCTGGTGTTCAAGGAGCTTGATTTTAGGAGCTGAACATCAGGGTTCTAAACTTGTCATTTACTAGCTGGGTAGCCTGGGGGGAAAGTTGCTTATTCTCTGTGGGGCTTGGTTGTTCCAAATATAAAATTGGGAAACCATTAAAAACTTTTATAGGTTTGTTCTGAGGGTGACAGAGTTCATTCTTGTTAAATGCTGTGTATGGTACCAGGCATAAATGGTCAAGATGCAAAACTACATTAGTTTTAATATAGATCTGATAGGATAGAACTTTTGACACAATAAATGGTTGGTTCAACAGTCTAAGCATTGTACTAATCAAATAATGAAAGGCTTAATGAAGGAGTAAATAGGACACTGGGTTTGAAGTTAGAAGAACTTGGCTTATATCATCTCTTCTCTGACCTTCTCAAAATCCTTCAATGCTCAGCAGCCCAAAAGTTCAAAGACATAGGGATGTGGCTATTATTACTACATTTTTGTTTGTTTGTTTGTTTTGTTTTACTGAGACACGGTCTCTCTGTACAGCCTTGGCTGACCTGGCACTTGCTCAATGGATAAGGCTGGATCTTCAAGCTCACAGGGATCCACACGCCTCTGCCTTCTGAGTGTTGGGATTGAAGGAATGTGCCACCACTGCCAGACTATTGTTGCTACTTTTAACAGTAGTAGTTGTCATCCTTGCATGGTTTCCATCTCTTCCTGTGAATCCCGGGTTCTGTGGTGATTGTGAAATGTGATGCTGTCACAATCATTGTTAAAGTGGTAACACTTGGCAGAAAGTAAAAGAATAAATAGACATTTTATTATAAATCAGTTTCTGGGCCTGCTGAGTTGGCTATGGGGGAGGACCCTGAGTCGGTGATTTCAGACTATTTCTTACCTGATAGAATCACTTAAGCTTAAGAACCGCCTGTGTAAAAAGGCACAGTAAATCACTGGTAGTTGTAAATTCAGCAACAACTTTTTTTTTTCATTAAAAAAATGAGTGTTTTGTTTTGTGTGTGTGTTTGTGTTTTTTTTTAAATGTATGTCTGTGAGACACATGTATACAATATCCACAGAGACCAGAAGAGGGTTTTGGATTGGATCTCCTAGGACTGAAGTTGCAGGCAGTTGTAAGCCACCATGTTGGTGCTGGGAATTGACCCCCTGTTCTCTGGAAGAACAGCTAGTGCTCTTAAATTCTGAGCCATCTCTCCAGCCCTAGCAACTACTACTTGCACTAAAATAAGGGTCTGAGGTGATGACTCAGTCAGCCAGTGTTCGTTGTACAGGCAGAAGGACCTGAGTTTGGATCTTAGCACACTTTAAAAACCTAGCACGGTGGCACACATCTGTAAACCCAATACTATGGTGGGAGAAGACAGGGTCTTCTTAAAGAGTCCCTTGAGCTCACTAACCAGCCAGTCTAGCAAAATTGATGATAGACCTTGTCTTAAAAGATAAAATGGGAGACATTGAGGAATAAACCTGATACCAATCTCTGGCCTGTACACACACGTGTGTATACATAAATTCAGACATAAATTTGCACACACACACACACACACACACACACACACACACACACACACACGAACATGCATACAAATACCACACAAATAAATAAAAGATCATAAGCATTGTTAAGATTTTTTTACACAGATAATATATAATAAAACAATAATACTGGAAGCTGTAGGTATTCTCTAGTTTGATTCACGTATTCACAAAAACTTATTTCCCATATTCTTGATGTTTCTGGATCTTGGAGCTTTTCTTAAGGCCATGTCCTCCATAAAAAAAAAAACCAAAAAGTTGTAAATAAAAGTTGGCTCTTAGCTTCTGTGATACTTGGTGTTCATCGTCAGCTTGACAGAATCACAAATGTCCTAGGAGGTGGACTTCTGAGCGTGCCTGTCGGGGATTACCTTCATTACACTCATTGCGGTGGGAAGGCCTGCCCACTACGGGTGGAGTCACTTCCTTCCTGGGGTTTTCTGGATTGTATAAATGGAGAGGGAACCTGGGTAGAGGCGGGCGTTAGCTGTCCTTTGCCTTTTGACTATGGATGTGATATGACCAGTTTCAAGTCTCTGTCACCATGACTTCCCTGCTATGCTGGCTGTAACCGGAACTGTGAGCAGAAATAAGGCCTCTCTCCCTTCAGCTGCTTTTGTTAGAGTATTTTTTTTATCATCACAAATTGGGAGAAGAAAAGAAGACGACGTCTTTTCCTTTTCTTTTCCAGCATTTCAACAGGACGTGGATATGAGTGCTTCAAGATTTGAGATGTGTGCCTGCCTGAGGTTTATTTTAGCCACATAAACAAGTGTTAGGTACGAAACAGCTGATCAAGGGGCATGCTATTCCAGGCTACGTGGGAATGCGGAAGAAGGACCAAAGCCGCACAAGAGGCAAGGAGTAGAGAGAAATTATGATCAGTAGCCTCTGTTATGACTTACATTGAAAGACAAGACAGGATGGAGCGAGTGGTCAGGAATGGATATTTGACATCATTTGGGGGGTATTAAGACGTGGAAGTAGTTTCTAGTTGTCCAATACTTTCACTGGGAAGATTCAGGCCTGGGAAACATGGCCTGCTGGGCACACTAAGGGCGATGCTGAGGCTGTCTGGATTGGCTTGTTTCTACACGGTTCTGAGGGAATTCCTTGCTATTCCTCCCCCGCCCCCACCAGAGGCTGAGCAGCATCTCCAGATTACCACAACCCCCTGGGATGTCAAGGCATCACAAAGCACAGCAAATACAAAGTGCGGTTAGTACAGGGAGACATGCTATTTGCTTGAAGAAAGAAAAGTCATTATTTTCGCCAGTTTAGCAAAGATGGCTGAGGGCATTGCTTGTCTCCTTGCTGAGTTCTTCTCTAAATCTGTGAATAAATTGTCAGCTGGGAAACGAAGGAGCCTGCGATTTACTGACTGCTCATTCTATAATCTAATTTGTAAGTGTGAGGAGGATAGAAAGCATTAAGGCACTTGCCCTGTCAGGGTGATCCCATTAGAGCAAAAGTTTTGTGGCCTCCGAGGGTTATGTGGGGGAATATTTGTTCTGCTACCAGAATATTCCTGCTACCAGACTTCAGAAAGGTCCACTGCTGAAGTAACTCCCATACATATTTCCCTCTCTTTGTGGGTAGGGTCTAGATGAATAGTCCATTTTTTAATGTGGTAAGCAAAATAAACCTCTGAGCCCAGCTCTTATTCATTTAAAACAAAGTTGTTTTCCAATTTCAAAAACAAGTCATAATAAAAAACAACATTGCAAAGTACTTTTTCTATTATATACCAGTTTCTCAGCTTTGTACTATTTTCTTATTCATCAATAATGAAACTCTTAATAGGCCTATATTTAAGTACTAACAAACCAAGCAAACTCTTATTCCTGAAAGACAACTGGTGCGTCACACAACTTGTCTGAAAAAATGATTCCATTTGCATATAATTGATCTATGTCTTCACATTTGGATTTAATTGTAATCATTAAAGATACCATTTAATTCCGCATATTATTTTTGTTTCTATAATGAGGAAACCTATTTAACTAGCAGAATGGCAAAAAAAAAGCTCTTTAAAGTAGTTAATAATTACTGCGGGAAATATTAATCAGCATACCACATAAATGAATCTGAATAAAATCTTTTAATAATTTTCAAGGATCATTTAGTTTTATGAAAGGATTATGTGTCCAAGGGGTGTTTTTGTCTCATACAAATAACAAAGCAGTAAATGTCATGCTTTTAATGCAACTTTTTTTTCTGCAATACTCTTCTTGAGATGGAGTGTTGGAAAAAGAAAATGAGTCAGATGACCTCACTAATGCCTTGTAGCCAGCTGAGCTGCCTTAAGCAGATTAAATTCTTTGGAAGTCAGTTTCCTCTTAAAAAAAAAAAAGGTATGCATATTTTAACATTGGTTTGAGGATTAAGTAGCCTCCTTCACAAATGTAGAAGTTGAAATTACTCTATGAAGTTTCCCAAGGTAAGTTTAGTTTCAAAATGATAAAGAGATCCCTTGTCTTTCTGTGAAATCATTGTTACCTCCCAGTGTCCTGCCTTGCAAGCCCCTCAGTAGGTTCACATGTATTATTGATTTTATCTTTGGTTTTTCTAACTATCTGTCAGGGCTCTGGAGCTTACTTCTCATATTTTATAGTACACCAAAAGAACCTTTTAATGAAGTAGTAGGCTTACTGTCTCAATTATAGTCCAAAGTAAGACTTGAAGATGGGGACTTCCATCTACCAAGGCCATGTTATTTTCTCAAGGTCACCTGTGTGAAAGATAGAAGGTCTTTGATTTATCCCCTTTCAAGTGATTTCCAAGTACAGGGGTAAGAAAAAGATAAAGTCTGGATATGGGGCTGTCTGGATCATGGGTATGAGAAAATGTTTATTCTTGAGTACAGGGTAGCTTGAAGCAAAAAGGCAGGTGTTCCTTGGCCCAGATGTGTGTGACTTTCCCTAGTGTGTCTGGGAGATCTCTCCTGCACCAAGAGCTAGCAGACTGGTATTGCACAACATGATCATGCATGGCCTTCCAAACTATAATACAGGGCAAATTGAAAAGGAGTGCCTGCAGATTCTATCTAAATCATCTCTGTGCAATCGTGTCATTAGCATAGTGGTGCACCCCTACTAGGCACGTGAAGTTGGATCTCAAACATAGGACTGAACAGAACATTCTCAAGTTTAATTTTCATGGTTGCTACAGCAGAGTTACAAAAGGCAAGCGATTAAGGGCAATGTCACTACAAAGGTTGAGTTTGGGCTCTAGGTCAGTGCTAAATATAAAGAGTGGGAATCCCAGTGCTCCTGAAAGTAGGGCTGCATAGTGCAGGTGTGGAAGGGGTCATCTGGGTAAGTCAGGAAAGACAGAAAAGGTGGAATTGGAGATTTCCCAATATGTTGAGTCTGATGGAAAAGATTGACTACCACCTTCAGAAAGCTCCTTCATCTACTGCTTTACTTTCCAGCATAACTACCAAAGATGTAATTACTCTGTGAATTTTGAGGCTTTTTTTTTTTTTTGCTCCCAAGATGATAAGAAATAAGTGAGATTTCCTCACAGTTCCTTTGGAAACATTGTTGGTCATGTCTTGTTACTCAGTGGGTCAGGGGAAGGAAGCATCTTCCCAAACAAAGCCAATTTACCCAGAGCCCCCTTCATGATCACCTTCCGCCCAATGGAAGAGGTAGGATGGTCTTTTCTATTACATCATGTGACACAGGGACTTGCTCTGGAAGAGCTTAATATGTCACAAGTACCTAGCATAGACTCATTTCTATTTCTACTAAGGTTTTTGGTTTGTTTGTTTTGTTTTGTTTGTTTTCTGAGCCCTTAACCATATCAGTTTGTTTGTCTGTTTTTGGCTTACAAGGAATGGTAGTTGAAGAAATGGCCTCATTAGTAGTTCTGTAATGGGAGTGCTAAGTGCTGCTTGTCTCATGCAGGTACTAAAATGCCTTTTTTTTGTCCTGGCATAGATGTGAGTCAGATATTAACAAGCATGTCCTTTGTTTTTATGTGAGATGAGACCGAAAGGGAAATGCTTCTCATGATGTCGCTAGGTAACAAAATATAACTAGACTTGCTCACTCTATGGGTGGGATCTTTCTTTTTCTTATTTATATTTAAAGACTTCAGTTATGCATCTTGACAAGAACAATGGGTATACCAGAACGGGTATATGTGAACACTGGATACCAGAGGTCCAGTGTCTGCCACACAATGAGTTTGAGGCTTTGGCGGGTATACTTCAGTCACTTCCAATGATAAGGTCAATGGAGAATCCTAAAGGAATCCAGAGTGAAAATGCTCTTCATTTACTCAGCCTGTAATCATTTCTTCAGCATCGATTGTGTATAAAGCACAGAGGCATGAAGTTGGGGAGTATGGAAGGTGGGGGATGGATCTAGGAGAAATTAAGGAGAGGAGTTGGTAGTGAATATGCTTGTCTTAGTTAGGGCTTCTATTGCTGTGGAGAGACACCATGACTGCACTAACTCTTAGAAAGAAAACATTTAACTGGGGTGGCTCACTTACAGTTTCAGAGGTTTAGTCCATCATCATTATGGCAGCATGCAAGCAGATGTGGTGCTGGAGGAACAGCTGAGAGTCCTCCATCTGGCAGGCAGCAGGAAATTGACAGTCACCCTGAGGGAAGCTTAAGCAAAAGAGACCTCAAAGCCCATCCCACAGTGACACACTTCCTCCAACAAGGCCGCTCCTCCTAAAGTTGCCTCTCCCTTTGGGGGACATTTCCTTTCAAACCACTGCAATTGTCAAATTACATTATATGAAATTCTTGAAGAACGAATACAAATATTATATTAAAAAAATAAATAAGTCCGAGCTCTGCTTTCCTCACTCATTCTGGAAAGGCACCCCATACCTCACTTTCACAGCTCATGGTTTGCTGGATGCTTTGTGTAAGATCGGGAGAGTTTGGTATTTTATAGCTATTCATATTCTTGGGGGCTGGAGAGATGACTCAGTGGTTTAGAGCACTGGCTGCTTTTTCCAGAGGTTCTGAGTTCAATTCCCAGCAACCACATGGTGGCTCACAATCTTCTATAATGGGAACTAAAGCCCTCTCTGGCATGCATACAAGCAGAGCACTCATACCTTAAAAAAGAAACATAAATATAGTCTTTATTTCCTTTTTTAACTCACAAGACTCCAACACCTTTGTTGGTTCTCAGAAAAAGGGACACTATTGGCTTAATTTTTAAATTAATCGTGAATGCAAATTGCGGTCAGTGCTATACTATTCCTCTACCTAGCTGCAGGAATCCTGAGTTGGCACAGGGTTGACAATTGAATGGTTAGGTCAACTATACTGAGACTGACCTGAGGTCTATACCTCTAAACTGAGAAAAGATAATTAAGCCTTTAACCAGATAATATAGCCAAGACCTGAACATGGTAAAATGCAGCTGAAAGCTCCAAACTAGGGGTTACATTGGATGTTAGCAATCCTTCCCTTTCCAGGTCACACAGGTCTGGTTGCTTCCTGGATTGTGCGTGTGGCCTTCTTACTAAGATGACACACATTTTTGTCAGCTGTGTAAGGCAAGGTGGTCATGACCTTTTGAGAGAAGGGAAATTTCAAAGACCAAGCGTACAAACACAGAGATGTGCAGACATGCCATCCAATGTGACAGGACATTCAAAAGCATCAGGCTTTATAGCTCTTGCTGTTTCCTCATAAGGCTATGCAGCATGCTATAGGGAGACTACCTCCATCTCACTTGAGAAGAGCTTTTTCTGCAGATGCTTGGGATGTGAGTTTCCATGTCTGTCCTCTCCAGAGTTCCATCCACGCCCTCTGGTGCTGCAGTTACCTATCCATAATGTCCCCTAAAATGAAGAACACAGTAAAACGCCTTTCTCCATTCCCCACAGCCTTGCTGCCTTTCCTACCTCAAAATTGCAATGTTCACAAACCAGTGAGTAAATTCATATCACAGATGAAGAAACCAGGGAAAGTGATTCCTGGTGCGACTTCCCACAGTTTCCAGTGCATCGCTTGACATCTTCTGGACTACGCCACACTAAATAGTTAGCTCAAAAGCTCTCACAAAGTCCAAAACTATTCTGAAATTTTGTTCCTGTTAGCTATTTGCTCTAGAAAGTAAAAAGGGACCAATGTTACCAGAAATTGAGATGTTGATTATTAAACAGTGGAAATCAGGGAAGCATAGCACTTAGTTCAGGGATGAATGAATGGGCAAATGGAATTGGCTAGGTCAACGTGAGCTTGGATCTCTACTTCAAACAATGTACATGAGTGAATTCCATGTGCATGAAATACTCAAATTGAAAAGTGAAAAATAAAGAAATTTACCTGTGTTGGAGGATATCTCTTTGACCTTGTACTGCAAAAGAGAGTCTTAAAAAATTCAAATACAAAGATGAATAAAGTCAAACATTACAACCAAAAGTTTAACCATAGACCAAGTATGGGGGCACATACCCGCCTTTGAACTCAGCACTCACTTGGGAGGCAGAGGCAGGTGGATCTCGGTGAATTCGAGGACAGTCTGGTCTACATAGTGAGTTCCAGAACAGTCAGTTCTATGTAGAGAGACCCTATGTCAAAAAACAAAAACAAAACAAATTACAACTAAAGATGATATAAACACCTTAAAGACAAACCATAAAAACAATATTAAGTGAAAAAAGTCAGTGTGCAAAATTCTTGTGGCATGACAGCACTTAGAGAGTTTGTTTACAAGACATGATTGGCATAGTATGTTTTCCATATATTATTACTAAATGGTAAAATTATAAAGTCAAGCTGAAATACTAAGTATCCAAATCCAAATTAGCTTAGTAGGAAATGGATGGGATCTTAGACCATGACATATGGTCTTTACCATGTTAATTAACTTCTTTTTGTTTTTGCTTGCTTGCTTGCTTGTGTTTTAAGACAGGGTCTTTCTATGCAGCCCTGGCTGTCCTGGATCTCACTATGTAGACCAGGTTGGTCTTGAACTCTCAGAAATTCTCCTGTCTCTGCACCCTCAGTGCTGGAATTAAAGGCCAGCACGACCATACCTGGCACTACTTTTTTCTTAAACAGAATTATGAGCATGTCTGGACTCCCTTATGATAGCTTTGCTAATTAGAGGGAAGGCACATGAATATGAATAACTTTTACTGAGAACATTGTAAATGCTGGATAATGTGCTGTTTTAGCTGTATTATTCATTTAATCCTCAGGCAGTCCTCTTGTAAACTCAAGAAAACATTTTATTTACATTCTGTAATGCATCCCTCATCAGCAGCATTAGGATAAAATATTCATGTAGCAGGCAACAGAGTCATCGTCTCTAGCCCAGCCTGTGGCGTTGACTGAACATGTTACATAAACGTTTTGGCTCTCTGATTCCTAATTTACAACATTGAGTTAAATATGTACATGGGCTCCTTTTATAACTGTTTTGCGAGTTACATGATTGATCTTAACAGCTGCATTATCTCCCGGAAGTGTTTTATTAAAAAAAAAAAACTAAACAAAAGAGGAAATAATTCATGGAAAATTGTCACATGGAAGTAGTGACTTGGAGGTAGCTGGTGACTGGGATGAGCAATAGATTGAGAGACAAATCTGATAACACACGCCTGCTGAAAAATATGTAAGAGAGAGACTTATGAAATAGAGCAAAAATTCCATTCCTACGGAAACTCCCCAAGATTCTAATTAGGCAGATTGTGTCCAGCCAGGTGCCTTTCTTATACTGCATTATTGCACTGTAAAACTGAATTAGCTGGTGCTGTACTTAGAGACCCACACTGGCTAGCCTATCTATTTTAAATGGAAATGCAATTGAAAGGACTTTATTAGCATGACCGTATCTCCACAAAGCAAGAAATCACTCTATAATATTCTTTAAAATAGCCAACTAATCTCTCCCCGAAGTTATTTCTTGTTCCATCGTTCATCTTCTGTTCCTTTTAGTAGAGTACAATTGTGTGGAACATTCATGAGGCATATGAATGCACTTTTCTACAGAAATTTCATGAGGGAAACATCTGTCTGTCCAAATCTTACTGATCATTTAGAGAAAAGAAAAAAACAAACATGTTTCTGTACACCAAGAGAAAAATACTGGCAAATTCTTGCTCAAAAGGCTCTTCTTTCAGATTTCTTATATGTCACAGAAATAGCTATTAATATATTAACACACACACACACACACACACACACACACACACACACACACACACACGGTAGATGCAGAGCAACCTAGTAATTTATAGTTTTCTTACCAAAGTTCAGTCCAATCTGCTTGATGGGATTTGAAAAGAGAAAGGAAGAACTATTGTAGAAAAAAAATTCACTGGACACTTGTATCCCCTGCAGAGTAGGAAATACTGCTTGCTTCCCTTGTATCTCATCAAAATTTTTCATCTGGGCTGAGTGGTTGAGAGCGCTTGCTGCTCTTGCAGAGGATCAGAGTTTGATTCCTAGAGCCCACATCGTATGGCTCACAGCACCTGTAACTCCAACTTTATGGGATCCAATATCCTCTTCTGGCCTCCTTCACCTATATGAACACATGCGTGTGTGCATGCTTGTGTGTGTGTGTGTGTGTGTGTGTGTGTGTGTACACACATCAATTTTTTCATTTATTTTTAAAAATCCAACAGCTAAGGAAGTAATTTTGAATTTATTTTAAAATCAGAAATTAATATCTAACATTAAATAGCAAGGGGTATCCTTTTTTTTTTTTTTTTTGGTTTTTCGAGACAGGGTTTCTCTGGGTAGATTTGCGC